AATTATTCCTGCAAATTTGGACTCGATATCCTCTGCTCTTAAGCTAAAAGAGTAACTGATGCTTCTAGCTGCAGTCAGAAGGAGCCCGTGAGTTTGTGCCTATTCCAGGGTTTGGAAGCAGTGGCAGCGCCTGCCCTCGGCTGCCTTTGCCCAGCCTGGCTGGAGCGCTCGTAGGGAAAAAGCCGGGTGGAGTCAGATGAAACATTGCTTTTTACTGGGAACTGCCTTTGCAGCCTCCTTTTTGAGGCTTCATACGCTGCAGCCTCCAGCCCCTGACTCCCCCACCCAGGCAGCGTGGCTGGGGGGGAGGACATCCCTGTCCCTGTCCCATGCCATGCCCGCAGACATCCCCTCTCCGTTCATCTGCCACCCGCTGCTGCCAGCACCAGGCAGGGAAACTTCGGGGCTGGGTTTGGAGGGAAGAGATGGAACAAACTCCAAAAATTGTGTGCAGGATTTGGGAGAGAAGCGACCGACTAGAGGGCAGCAAAGCTCCGGGCTGGGATGCTGCTGGGGAAGGCAGCGGGGTGCTGGGGGACCCCTGAGCCCACAGGCTGGGGGCTTAGGGGGCTGCAAGCCCTGTGGTGTGTGGGGAGGCCAGCGGGGGGGGGGCTGCCGGGGCAACGACCCCGGCCCTGATGCTCCATGGGTGGGATGTGCCCCCCAAAGAGGTTGGTGCTGCACGCCTGGACCCGCAGCCCCTCGCTCCTGGGGATGCTTTAAAGGTCAGCGGCAAAACCTGCAGCTGGAGGAAAAACTGCTGTAAAGCCTGAATGGCCCCGCGGTGGTTTCATGGCATTTGTGGGCAGACGTTAACAGCTACGAATTTTGAAAGCAAACATTTGGGAATCTGTTCTTGGTTTTGTGTTTCTGTCGGTTCCCCGGCGCGGGGTTGTGTGTTTCCTCTGCAACAGCTGATGGCTGCACTGACACGTCCCTGTCCCCATCCCAGGTTTGCTCAGGAGCTCCAGCACCGCTCCAGGAGGGTCCTGCCCTCAGGGCCTGGCAGGTGAGAGAAGAAAGCCTGGATTTTTCCAGGAGATGGCTTGGTTGTGGGTTTTTTTTCCCCCTAGCTTATTTTTATAAATAGCAGCCCCAGAACAATCTGTTCCTTTTATTTATTTGTGTATTAAGTGGAGTGAATTTTAGTCCTGGCAGAAGATGCTGCCTTGATGGCTCTAATAAGTAAAAGCTCCTGTCTGTCCCAGCCCCAGCAAGGATGTGTCCCTTGGCTGCAGACCACGACCCCTGAGGGGCTTTGGGGCCATGGGCTGGGCCCGGGTGTGCCAGTGCCCTGCAAGATGGGGAGGGAGGTGGGCAGAAGGGGCTGGAGAAAGGGGCTGCGCTGGCCCCGAGCGCTGCAGACCGCCGGGCACGTCCCTGTCCCCTGCGCTAGCGCTGGCCAGGGTGATGCGTGTTCCCACGTGCAGTGACCGTGGCTGTGGGGAGCCCCCACCTCTGTCCACTCTCTTGGTGACCCCTCAGCCTGTGTGCAATGCTGGACCAAAGCCGTAGTTCCCTCCCCAGGTTGTGCATCAGCTTCTACCGACAGCTGGTTTCTGGCGTCTCTGACCAGAAGGTGCTCAGGCTTCTGATAAATGCTCAGTAAAACCACTGCAATGGCTCCGTGGATCACACTGGAGCGTTCAGGGCTGGGAGCCTCTCTGCTCCAGGTGTGTTGGGACACAATGGACCCCATTCCTGCCTTGCTCAGGGCCACCTAGAAGTCTCCCAAATTCCAGCTTCCTGCTCAAACCATTACCCCAGGTAGTCTCCCGCAGGGAGGCACAGGTTCTGCATCCCCATCTCCCCATCCCTCTATTGCACCATCATCCCCTGCACCACTGTGCTTTGGTTGACGCATTTCTGCTCACCGTTGATTTGGTTTCCTTGAAGGTAGAGGTTCTCGAGGTTGGTGTTGACCCGGGGGATCTTCTGGAGCCTGTTGTAAGAGAGGTCCAGCTCGAGGATGCTGCTGCTGTTGAAAGTGTTGGTAGAGAGACCTTGATTTGTCAGGCTGTTATGGGACATCCGTACATAGAGCAGCTTGGGAGAGACCTTGAAATAGTCATCAGGGATGGTGTTGATGTAGTTGTACTCTAGGTAGAGCTGTTCCAAAGCCATTGGGAGCCCATCAGGGACTTTCCTGAGGTGGTTGTAGCTCAGATCAGCAAGGATCAAGGACTTGAGCCCTTTGAGGGATGCTCCCATCTCAAAAATGTAGTTGTGGCTGAGGTACAGGGCTGTGAGGTTCTCCAGACCCTCCAGAGCATTGGAGGGGACCTTGGAGATCTGATTGTAAGACAAATGGAGCTCTCTCAGGGACCGGGGCAAGGGACTTGGCATCTTGGTTAGGTTATTGTTGTTCATGTACAGCCTCTCCAGGTTTTTGAGCTTGGCAAAGACCCTCTTGCCCATCTTCTCACTGTTGATCTGGTTATTGTGCAGCGCGAGCCACTCCAGCTCCGTGGCATTGTCAAAAGCTCCCTCTTGGATGGCGGTGATCTGGTTGTTCTGGAAGTAGACGTATTTCATCCGGGAAGGCACGAAGGGCAGGTACCTCAGGTTACGGGTGTCACAGTACATGGCTGATGAGAAGTTAGGGGGGCAATCACACTCTTGGGGACATTGCCAGGAAGGGGCTTGCTGAGGTTCAGGGCCGGGCTCTGCCCCCGTGTCTGGAGCTGGGAGGTAAGAGTACACGTAAGGGGTGTTCTCGTCCTCGTAGTAGGGCATGTAGTTATAGGAGGACATACGGGACTGCCTCATGTAATACTGTAACCAAGCCATGTCTTCTTCTTCATTGTACTGGCCCAGGGAGGCTCCGCAGAGCCCAGCGATGATCAGGACGGTGGCCCAACGCATGGTGCTGATGCTGGAGGGACCTGGGGGGCGAGAAATGGGGAGAAAACCATCAGCAGTGTCAGGTCTGATGTAAGGGCTAGGGGCAGGTGAGCTGCACCCCGTGGGCTGGGAACCCAGCGGGGCTGGATGTGGTTGCAGCCCTGCCTGGGGTTGGTGGCACTTGGCAGCAGAGATGGAGAACCAGGGGACCTGAGTGAATCCTATCCAAAAAAATGGAGCTGCAGACATGTCCCCTGTTTGCAGTTACCTGATCTTCCCCCTTTTCACCTCAGGCCTGCTAGAAACCTCCATCCCAGTGGATATTTGCTCACAAAATCTTTACTTATGGGTATTTCTGTTACAAACGAGTAGAGGATGGAGATACGGGCACATCGTCCGAATTTGTGTAAGGTCATGCAGCTCTGCCCCGAGGTGCCCGGGATTTGCTTGCCCTGGCTCTGCGCAGGAGGGAGGAGAGAGGACTCGGCCACTCTCCGGCCAAGCGGAGGAGAGCGATAGCTGCAAGAACAGGTTGATGGAGCTCAAGGCATGTTTCGATGGAGCTATATTTATGCTACGCTCACTGGCGACATGATTCGCTGTGGGTTTCATCCAGCTCTCCCTTCCCCCACAGAAACGCAGGATGCTCAGGCTGCTCGGGACTGATGTAAATCCTGGTAAACAAGTTCTGGCTTATTTTTGAAATGAAACCACTTTCAAGCTTAGGTTTCCCGAGCTCAGACCCAACAAAAAAAGGGGCAGCATCTGCCAGCCCCTCGAGCCCAGCATGACCAGGGAGAGAAGGAGCCATCACCAGACCTAGTGTTTGGACCCAGCTTGTGAAATTCAGCCTGCTGAGGGCTGACATCCAGAAGAGAGCAGGGCAGGGGGCTCAGAGCAAGTCAAACCTGTCTCAAGCCCCTTGGCTTGGCGTGGGCTTCGCAGCCACCCCGTGCCGTGCCCAGGGCAGTGTGCTGGCACGCCACGGTGCTGGTGGCAGGAGGACTCCAGCTACGGCCGTTCATCCTGACTCCTCGTCTCGGTGCTAAAGGAGCACGCAGAGCGGCCTGGAGCGAGGCGGCTTGAAATGCCTCCAGGAAATATGCGGGGCCGTGCTGTTCGGAGGGGGAGAGGAGTTGCTCCTGTCTGCTGGCTCCTATATACGTGGCTGGGAGCGCAGAGCTGTTGGGCTGCCGGTGCATCACTGCCAGCTCCGCTCTGGCAGCCGCGGCGTGGGCAATGTGCAAGCACGGGCCAGTGTCCCCCCTCGCCGTGCCAGGGGGTGGCCGTGGGGTCACCTGATGAAACCTCGCCGCGTCCCCACCCCGCAGCGAGGAGGAGATGTCTCGCCCGGCAGACAAAGAGGGCACAGTTTGCTCCGAGGCAGCCGCTGGCCTGCTCACGAGCGACCCTCGCAG